GGAAAACACAAAACGACCACCACATTGCATGGTAGTCACATAGTTGGGTTTAGGCACCAAACGGTTTAGGTTTAAAAAAAGATTGTGTTTTTGGTTAAAGTCAGACTCAGATTAGACGCATCAAGATGCTGACTAAACAACATCATTATCACACAGGTGTGTCTCAGGATGGTCGCGATGAAAGGCCACTCTAAAATAATAACAGTAATATATTTTATTTATAGAGCATTTTCATGGTACTCAGACACTTTATATCAGTTAAAACTATCATAAAATAGAATACAATAAAATACACACATCATTCACACACTTTGAAACGATGAGTTTCAAAGAGTGATTTGAATCAGGAGATGCAGTGTCCAGAGGGAGGGGGCAGCTATGGAGAAGGCTCTGTCGCCTCAGGTGTTTGGTCCTGAGTGGTGGAGTAAGGACGTTGGCATCAGAGGAGCGGAGTGTGGTGGAGGAGCAGGTTGGTGAGGTAGCAGGGGGTGGGGTTATGAAGGGCTTAATGATCGAGGACGTCGACATTTGTAATGTGACGTTTAATCACAGAACACAATGACACAGATCGGAGTCCTCAGAGTCAGAGTCAGCGGGTCAGGTACCCGACAGGTGACCCACAAAAAGCGTGTGTGATATATGTATAATATGTTCATGTGTCCAGTGGACTCCAGTGGTGTCTGCGTTGTGTAGATATGAAGAGGCCCAGACTGTGGATATATTTGGAGGAGTTCTGTATTTATTCCTCTCAAACAAAACAAAATCCTCCGTCACACACAAACACACAAACTACAGCCCCTACACGAATAAAGTGACACAGGATTATGTTAGTGTAACATGAATTTATAAACAACTTAACAGTGTTAAAACATGGAAATAACTATGAGAGCAATGTCTCTTACCTCTCCCATGGAGCACAACAGCAGAAGGGGCGAGGTAAGGCAGGACACGTCGCTTTATAGGTGGGGAACAACTGAAGGTGAACATAGACGTGCAGAAACTGAGTATCAAACGTTCCACATGTTGACTACAGAGGCCTGAGAGGGTCAGGTAATAATCCAATCCAATCCAACTATATTTATGAAGCGCTTCAAAATAACCACAGAGTGCTGTACAGCAAGGTAAATAATTAACATAATCAAATACAAACATAGCATATAATATACAATAACATACACAAATCACACGAGGCAACATATGTAAGAACAAATAAAATCAACGTCCTACACGATGTTAAAAGCCAAAGAAAAGAGGTGGGTTTTAAGGAGAGATTTAAAAACAGACAGTGAAGAGGCCTGTCTAATGTGCAACAGCAAATCGTTCCAGAGATTTGGAGCTGCAACAGCAAAAGCACGGTCCCCTCTGAGCGTGAGCCTGCTTTTAGGCACCACCAGCTGATCAGCTGCGCCTGAGGGAACGGGTTGGCGTATAACGGTGAAGCAGCTCAGAGAGGTAAGGCGGGGCAAGACCATTTAGGGATTTAAAAGCAAATAAAAGAATTTTAAAATGAATCCTTAAATGCACAGGCAGCCAGTGGAGTGAGGCTAAAATGGGTGAAATGTGCTCGTGCTTACATGTGCCAGTTAAAAGACATGCATTTTGTACTAACTGTGGGCGAGCCACAGAGGACCCTCTGACCCCCACATAGAGTGCATGGCAGTAATCCAGCCGAGTAGTGGCAAAGGAATGGATTACTGTTTCAAAGTGCTTTTTATCAAGAATTGGCTTTATTTTGGCGAGCTGCTGCCTCAACTGAAAAAAGCTCGATTTTACCACAAATTTTTTGGAATCTTAATACTTAATATTAAAAATGTACATTTGACTTTGTTACACATATTACTGCTGTAGAATTCAGCCTGTTACATATATAAATAAACTCATGGGTACGAATGAACTACACGCAGGCAGGCAGCAGGTGAGAACAAAAATATTATTTTTCAGAATAAAACAAATAAAAAAGATTTGCAGTTCATGTGTAATATTTTGACATGTAACAGAAAATATCGCGATTTCAAGGTATCACAGTATTACAGAATTTATATTACCCTCAGTCTGAAGGAGCCTTAAAGGACTGGAAACAGAAGGGTTGTTGTTGGTCGAACAAACGTTTCATTACTACAAGTGAAACTTGAAACTTTTTGTTAATCGATGTTTGTGTAAAAAGTCTCTCCTTCACTAATAACTCATATAAACGTCCAGTTGCATTTCTTTTCCAGTATGGCAGATATCCAAATGCACACGTTACAATAACCCTCATATTTGTTAATGGGACTTCTATTAACAAAATGGTTTCAATTCTAGTAATAAAACATTTGATGAACCAAAAGTAATTTGTCCAGTATCATTCCTGTAAGGCTCATTCTGACTGATGACAATATCAGTTCTAACCATGATATTTTCTGAGACAGTTATCACACCATGAAAATCTCATAGCGTTGAAACCGTAACTGTAAATCTACAGGTAGAACATGACATCAGATATTATTTAACTACACACACTGGATCATAGAGTCCATGATATTTAGCAGTATCGAGGTGTTTCCTGGAGAGCTGCTCAGAATTTATGATGCAACGACATAATAAAATGAAAAAGTCAAGTTTTATATTATTAAGAGTCGTTCTGATGTACCATCGGGTTTAAAGTTTTACGTGTTACTCTTTGAAGTCAGCAGGAGTGACATTTTCAGATTCACTTTCAGGTATTACAGAAATCTGTGTGTGTCACTCGTCTTTACTGCTGCCTCTGTCTTTTCTTTAGTCTCTGCTTCCTCCTCCTCTTCCTGTCTTTACCTTTCCTCCTCTTCCTCACAACTCCTCCTGGCCACCTTCAGCCTCCAAGCTAATCGCTGCTCAGGATAATGACACGGTGAGACTCGGCAGCCCTGAGAAAACACTGCATCGTTTATTAAGCGGTGATGGAGTCGTTTGTTGTGAACCTTCAGATAGTGTATGACAGCTCTCAGCTGTAAGGTTGTGTCCTGATGAAATATTACAGCAGCTGCAGGAGCGTAAGGTGAAAATGAAGATGTCAGTGCTGCCTTATCTGTTTGCTGTACAAAGCAGATAATACGCCTCACACACTATCAGCAGAGCGGCTCGCTGCATCTCGTCGTATCTGAGTCAAGTTGATTTTTTTAGGTCGGTGAAAACATAAATATTAACAGCCACTCACAGTTTGTGCTCCTGATGGATTCATCTGAGCCTCATTGATATATGGAATTGTCAAACTGCAAACAATTAAAGTGGTGACACAGCACGGCTGCAATGTGCACACACTCTCTAACAGACACTTCCTACACGCACACACTTTGTTTACTGAGTTTATTTATTCTGTGGCCAAAATATCTGTCATCTGAAACTTAAAACTTTGTGCACTCAGGTAGATACACCCAAAATCTGTTCTTTATGTTTCAGAGGTGCAGGACACATACAGGATACACACACTGAAATGAGTCTGCCATATAAACCTGAGCTCTGTTAATGCATGAAAGCAACTTTGAGCAAGTCTCCAGGGAGAGGAGCCTAAGGCTGCTTTCACACCTGCCCTGTTTGGTTCGGTTCAGTCAAACTCCAGCTGGTTTGCCCCCTCAGTGTGGTTCATTTGTGCAGGTGTGAACACACCAAAACAACCGGACTGAGACCTTCTTGAAGAGGTGGTCTCGGTCCGGTTCCAAAGGAACTCTGGTGCGGTTGGTTTGTGGTGAGAAGGCGTTCCGACCTGGATGTGAAGCAACTGCAGTCACATGACACATTGTTTGGGTTAAACATGAGCATGTTACAGTCCTGGAGGATTATTAATGTGCACCTCCTCCTGTACTGCCTTAATATGCACATTCAGCACATCCAATGCATCAAAACATTGTTTTCTAGTTGGAGCCGCGCCTCGTTTTCAAACTGTATGCTTTGACTAAAATGAACAATGACAGCAATATAGTCCACGATGAGCAGCGCTAAAATCAACCTGCGTAGTTGTCCCTCCATTGTGACATTAGAAAGTGTCACATTTATCTTGCAAGTGTACTCTTCTTCAACGTTTGCTTTACTTCCTGGATTTTTCCCACATGGAAATTCTGACCAATCAAGAGCAGCTTTCTCACACAAGGCATTTGATCTGGTCCTCTTGTAAATGCTGCCGTGAGAACACCAACCAACTCTAGGCAATTATACAACTTTGGAACAACATGAGTCCCTGATTCAGACCAAAGGAGACACTCTAGGGCTGACAGCACCCCAACGCTTTACAGCACAGGTCAGCCCGGCTGCTGGTGCTGCTTTTTGTTTTTTGTTCTCTCAATGTAATCTGTGATTTTAATGTTTTTTATACCTCATTTATCAATGTGTCTGAAGCCTCCTACAGACTGTGAGATTCATCAGTCTCACGGGTCTTGTGCAGAGCTGTGCCACATGGATCTAATCAACTTGGGTACGATATCAAGTTTGATGTATGCAGACTGTATGATGACAGCACCTCAACACAAGATCACCCTCAACCTTATTTTGCGAGAGCACCATCACTGCATCCTGAGCGTAGCTCCGCCCAGGCAGACTGTGATTGGTTTAAAAAATAAAAACAAACCAGAGGGTTTTTTTTCCTTTATAGCAGAAAGATTCGGGACCTTTGACACAGCGCTGTGGAGACAGGTGTGATTACACAAGACTAGCATCAAACTAAAAGAACATCTGTTTTGATGTGTTTTTTGACAATGTTTCAAAAGTAAAAGAGTCTTTTAAAGAAACTTTAATAAGCAGCTGTGGTTCTGAATAATAGTCAGACTCATTTTTCTGTATTTGAGAAGCTGACAGCTTTTGACAGCTGTAGATGACAGAGACGTACACATCATGAAGGGGACGATGACACCTGATCACTGGTGATGCTCCCACAGTAACAGTTAACTGAGATCAGCAGGGTCTTTGTCTCTGATCAAAGTTTAGGAGACAGAGCCAGACGTATTTAAAGTAAAGTTTGATATCAACCTTTGTGTCCTCGTCTTCCTCCTCAGCGTTGTGTACTGAAGAGTGCGCCCACGGACGGTGTGTCTCTCCTGATACCTGCCAGTGTGAGCCTGGCTGGGGAGGACTGGACTGCTCCAGCGGTGAGTTCACATCTTTCTTTTTGTTTGTTTTTTCTCCTCAGTTTGAGACGAGGTCAGTTATTAAAGTCTGAGGCCTCTCGACCTCTGCGGACATTTTCATGCCTGTGCACCGGCGATAGCCGAAGGCATTATGTGTTCAGATTGGCCATCTGTCCATCTCAGTCTCATGAACATGATATCTCAAGAATGCCTTGAGGACTTTGAATGTGGCACAAATGTCCACTTTGAGTCATGGATGAAGTGATTAGCATTTGGTGGACATAGGTCAAAGGTCAAGGTCACTGTGTCCTCATCTCTCTCATTCTTGTGAAGGTGATATCTCAACAAACGCCTTGAGGGAATTTCTTCAAATCTGGCACATACATCCACTTGGACTGAAGACAACTAAACTGAACTGATTAGAATTTGGAGGTCAAAGGTCACTGTGACCTCACAAAACACGTTTTTGTGTGTGTGTGTGTGTGTGTGTGTGTGTGTGTGTGTTTTTCTTCAAATTTGGCACAAATGTTCACTTGGATTTTAGAATGAACCCATTAGGTTTGGTCGTTAGAGGTCAAAGGTCACTGTGACCTTTTATCAGTCTCATTCTTGTGAACGTGATATCTCGAGAACACCTTGAGGGGATTCTTTTAGAATTTGGCACAAACAATTACTTCAACTCATGAATGAACTGATTAGATTTTTAGTGCCCAGATGTTTCTGTGACCACACAAAACAAAAACATTTTGGCCATAACTGTTTTCCTATTAGTAAAATCACTTTTTTGATTGCTTCACACTGATGACAGCTGAGGACAGGGACTCACATTAGGATCACAGAGATGATTAAGAGTACGTGTTCAGTCTGCAGCCGTAAGTTAATCAAAAGACAGAGGTGTGCAGGAGCTGATGTGAGGATCTTTGGTTTCTTGTTTCACACTCTGTAGCAGTCACACACTGATGTACAGACATCAGACCTGTGACGGGGGTGCAGCGTAATGATCAGAGATTGGCATTTCAAAGGGACACGAGTCATCTGAAGTTCACCTTATGTGGTGATAAAGAGAGGAGCACATTCTCACAGCAGAGGTCAATCTGTACGCTAATTCCTGCAGATAAAAAACCAGAAATGTTAAATGAGCTGGAAGGACATCATGATATGCTTGTTTGGCTTCAGAGTGAAATGCTACGCTGGTCGTTCAAGTCGTTTAAGTTCAGGTTTATTTTTTGAGCGTAGCCTCATACATAAGCAATTTATAGTTCCTCCAAAGAGTGACAAGAGGGGAGGAAAATAGGTTTTAATATAGATGCAGACACACAGAGCCCTCCTGTATTTATTCTCAAATAAAAGATGATAACGTCGGTGCACACCTCAAATCAGCAGCCAGGCTGCTCCACAACGGAGGAGCACAAACACTGAATATCATCAGATTTTGGTTTGAGTTTTATGAGTTTAAAGGAAATCCTGTGATCAGTGGAATCTGTTTGATAAACTATAATCTGTCAGATGTATAATCTGAAGATCTTCAACATCAGGAGCAAAATCTGGAACCCAGAACTGATCACTGAATTTTTCCTGCTGTCACACAGAAGGGTCGACTCGTATCTTCTCTGTTTGTATGTTGCATGATCTGGTTTGGCCAAACCTTTGTCTTGTAGTTTGAGTGGTTACACGGCCCCACATGGCTGCTGTCAAAATATTTAACATTATTAGCTGTATTTTACATGTTGTTGTTGCAGCTTTAGTTTCGACTGAGCTCTGCGTTGGCCGGTAAGGTAACTGCTTTTGTTTGACAATATACGACAAATATTCAGACATTGAAATACGAAAAAATATTTAACAAATTTAAAAAAGTAATTCATCTGTTAATATTTACAACAAGTATATGTAAAAGTACAGCACAGCAGGAGGAACCCAAAAATACTCAGTTTAAGACTTTTAGGACTAACAGCAAGCTTAGCGATGCTTCAGTAACACTGCAGTTACCTCCAGAAAGTGGTTGGTGTGCTGCAGCTGGCTCTCGTGAATGGACGGCCTGGGAGTCAGGTGCTTTGCTGGTGGATTTAGGACGAAGTTACTGGAAGGTAGATCTACAAACTTTTTCAGACTTTCTGGTTCGTTTCCAGGAGAAAGCAAGCTAAGGATTATTTGGACTGTACCTCTTCCTCTCTGAAAGTGCAGCTGCAGGCTACCGGTGAGCTACGCTGCGTCGGCTTTGAAGTGTTGTTTTATTTTAATTCTGACTCGTGCAAAGGATTGGAGAGAAATAAAAGGGAGAACCACTGCGTCCAGGTCTTATAACGGTCAAGAAAACCCTGCTGGTTGTTCTAGCATCATGTTGGCTAAATTTTAGTGACATTCTTTTGTAAACAAAAATGTAAAGACATCAGACAACATCAAGGTCAGCAGGTCATGTCCATATTGTACGATAAGCTGATAACGTAGGTGTTGTGAAGGACCAAGCTCTGTGCTGCGGTAGAAATAAAAGTGAACTTTGAGGTATAGACCATTATTGTATGCTTAAACAGCGATGATGTATTTTGTGGGCGGAGCCGAACTGGTGGCAGAAAGGGTCAGTTGTGGTGTCGGTGTGAGCGCCATATGAAACCTAAAAGGCCCTTTGACGTTTATATTTATCAAGCGTTTGCAATGAGCCATTTTTATATCCATGAGTTTATGATCTAAGTGTAGAAAAAAAAGTTTTGTTTCCAGTTAATAATAATCTTGATATTTAGGCTAATTGCTGCTGCTCAGTGCTCAGTGCAGGAGTGTGTGTGTCAGGGTTAGATGAACTGAATTATTGACTTGGTGAAAGATAATTCATCATCATAAGAACTGTTAAAACACGTTTGTCAGGCATGGATTTTGTCCTTGGTTAATGCTTGTGGAGATGTCTTCATATAATATCATTTAATGTGGAAGTGCAACTTGCTAGCATGCTAGCTAGCTAACGCTGTCTGCTTATTACCTCCTTCCTGTGCTGTGGAGCCAGTGACAAGGACGTAAAACGAAGCTATGTAAGACATAAATAATTCAAACAAATGAACGTCTTTTTATTGTTTAATGCATTTTAGAACAAGTACAACCTGCTGCCACCTGTTGGATGGAAATGTAGGGCAACATGTTATGCAGAGCTCTATGAATTACATATGTAAATATTATGTAGATTTTTCATTTACATCAAATTTTAGCCACCATAAAGGTCTTGGTTTAGTTTCAAACGGCGTCCTCTGTGACCTTTTTTTGATTATATTCTGCATTCTTACATTCAACAGCACAACTATAAAATTTTATTCTGGGTATCTCAACTGTTTCTCTCTGGTCTGTTGTTTTTCTGCCACAACGATGAACGTGCAGCTGCTGTGACCTTACTGTGACGTCCACTCCAAATTGGTCTACATCAGAGCTGCAGAAGTTACTGTTGCTTGTCTCTTTTTAATCCAGCAGTGGCATTGTTTGGACGAACTGTTGCAGTTTATAGGATCACATTTGTTTTGTCTTAGTCAAGAAAGCGGCAGCTGCATTTAGCTGTGATGGTTTTACAGGAGGATCAGTGAAATGAATGTTAGGAGGAGTTCTGGAGTCTGCTGATGATGAAGGCACGGACGAGTGTCCCTGGATCTGACTGGAATAGAGAGCGTGGAGTTTCTGAAATATTCCTGAGATGATGTGCAGGCTGAAGTGTAGGAGAGAGGATCAGATTTATTTTGAGGCCAGAAAGTTTTGAGAGCAGCAGAAACAGAGATGATCTCTGAGTCATGGTTTGTGATCAGCAGCTCATTCAGGTCATTCAGCTCTGTGATGTATGGAAGAGTAAAACTGTGCTGATTGCACCTTTAAACTGGAAATGAAGCTATTGCATCTCAATATCAACCTCATTTCCATCGTTTGGTTCCACTGCTTCACTCTCTCGTCCTGCCCTCTGAGCCAGTCCAGTTCACTATAAACCCTCAGTGTGTGTGTGTGTGTGTGTGTGTGTGTGTGGTCGGAGGGATCTGGGGGCCTATTGACACTTAATGAGTCACACAGCCCCTTTAGTCCCACTTTGTTATTGGCGTCCTCCTGCCTCCCCTTTGTTTACCAGTTTTTATTGCTGCCCGGGGGCCGAGGGACTGAGGCCAGGCCAACACAGGGGTTAGGTAAATCTACCAGCACTTAGGCTGAGAGGAAGAGGAGGATGAAGTGTGCTGATCAACTTCTCTGGAAGTTTGGCTTTGACTTCAACTTCCCTGCTGCAGTTGTCTGTCTGTCTGTCTGTCTGTCTGTCTGTCTGTCTATCTTTGTTCTTGGACCCATCTGTTCATCATCCTCCTCTTACTTATTTTAGTGATAAAGCAGAGCTCAGCGTGCAGCAGCCTCACACCTCGGCCTGCAGACAGTGCTGCTGTACGACCTGACGCCTGGAAAATAAATTAAAGAACATATTTTTGCAGATGACAGCGTGAAGACTCTGCCTCCTCTCAACACAACGTGTCATTTGCTCATTACCTGTGGAAGAATGTAATTTGCTGTAAAGATGCGGCGCAGTGAGACGGAGTCGTCCCTCCCGTGGGGATATTGAGCTGATTTGTACACAGAGTGTGTTTTATATTACGCACGCTCTCCTCTGATTGGTAGGAGGAAATGAATCCTGCGGTCAGTGACAGATTGAACGGCCCTCACATTGTTTTGCTTTTTTATTGTTTTGTTTTATGATGTCGTGCAGCTGAGGATGAGTGCGGCGTTCTTCATGATGCTTTGCAAATAAGCGTGGTGGAGCTACAGTGGCAGGTACTGAATGAATTTAAAGGCTTAATGTGTCACAGGCAGGCCAGAGGAAACACTGGATCCTGATTGGTGGACGGCACCTGCTCCTCTAATTCAGATGGGTTAAGTAGATTTTACAAACTGTCCTGATGGAGCGAGTTTAGCAGCCGTTCACAGAGAGAAGCCGAGGAGAGAGCTGTGATAAGAGTTATTCAGCCCTGTCTGTAAGAAAGGGATTCATAAGAATAAAATACCCTGAAGACAGAAACAAAAGA